CTTACGCACACAGGTTAAACTACAGGCAAACCAATTAGATTTCATAATGCAGTCAATGATGATTTTATATTTCGGGCAACATTCACAGCCAGTCCAAGTTGGCATCTGCTTGAGTTGTTTGAAAATTGCCTTAAGTGTTTGCCTGGGCAGAGGAAGCAAGAGGCCACAGTCTTCCACCCACTGCAGACATTCTGAAGACTTCTGGGGGCCCCTTTCTGCCTCCTGCCCCTTCCTGACAGCTCTTGCCCCTCTCCTGGCAGTCTGCGCTGTTTTTAAAGGAATATGATTTTGAAAATTGCTGCCCTCCAGTTGGAATTGCCTGAAGCTCTAACTCCCACTGAGTTAGCAGGCAAATTTTCCCCTGAAGGGGCAAACTTTTCCCTGCAGGGATGATGCCAGGACTGCTCCAGTGCCCGGGGCATCTCCTAGAGGCTCAGCCAGGGTGCCCTGCGGTAGAGGAGATTCCACAGGCTCAGCTGGCCCAGAGGGCCTGGGCTAAGGGAGGGAGCAGGAGCATGCATCCCAGTCTGGCAGGAGGGCAGCAGGCCTGAGAGGCTTCCCCATGGCCCATTTGGAGAGTCTGTGCCTGAAGCATCCTTCCTGCATCGCAGCCTTCCTCTCCACTCCCCAGGACAGGCCTAGTGGCGCCCAGGAGCTATACCAAGTTCCCACTTCCAGTTGCACTCAACAGTTTGGCCTTTCAAGGGGAAAGTGGAGCTGGCTCTGAGGACTCTCAAGTTCTCTGGGCCCTAACTCTGGGCTAGGAGCTCTTGGGCATGAGCTTGGGCAGGGCTCCTTCCTACCTGAGGTGAACAGGACTATGGCCTTGAGGCAGCTGTACTCGGCGGAGTCGACGTGCAGCGCTTTGAGCTTCTCCACTTGCTCTTGGAAGATCCGTATGTGGTCCATAAAGGCGACCACCCGGTCGGCGGACATGGGCGAGGCATGTAGGCCGGCGGCGGCCAGGAGCGGGGCGACGTGGAGGGGCATGGAGCACTGGGCCGCGTTCAGCACGAACAGCTCGCTCCAGGTGAGGCGAAGCAGGGCCACCTGGTCGGTGATCTGCAGGTCAGGGAAGAAGGGGATGTTCCGGGCCCACTCGACGGCGCTGAAGAGCATCCGAGCGGCCAGTTCGCAAATGTTCTCGATGCCCATGATGTTGTTGGGCTGCATGCACTGGCTGCCGAAGCGCGACGTGGGATAGGGCTCGGCGCGCAGCAGCAGAGAAATATATCCGGACAGGTACGAGTGGCAGTTGAGGGGGTCCCCGTTGGTCAGCGCAAACTGCCCGTGGGTCGGCTGGGTGGGCGGCATCCTGCCCCTCTGCACCGCTGCGGGGAGGAAAGGAGACATTCCACAGTTAATGACCAGCCTTGTTCCCCAGCTCCCCCGGCAGGGTCTGCCCCAGCCCGACCTCCGCCTGACCCAGACCCCGCGCCGAGCCGAGCAGCCAGGCCTGTCCCTCTCACAAGCGCGCCAGGGCCACAGACCTGGGAGTCACCGGGAGCCCGGCGGCACTCCTCTCCAACCACTACCCAGGCAAGCTCTGGCGGCCAGAGCGGCACACTTGCCTCCGAGGCCCGCCCGGGGCTGGGCCGCCGAAGCCCCAGAATTGGCCACCTTGCCTCGGGGTCCCGGCACTGTGGGCGGGATGTAGCATTCTGGGGGCATCTTTCTTCTTTACTGCTAAACAGCTGATATTTCTTATTGATTGGAGGAGAGGGAGCGGGAGGGGCGAGTCCGGGGGGAGGGTGAGACGCTTTTGCAAAAGACACAACGGTTCACCCCAGACGGCCTGTGGCCACCCCGAACCATTCTCCCCCATGCCCCGCAGCCCCGGCCGCAGCCCGGAGCGGAACCCCGGCGAGACGAGCGGAGAGCCGCGGTCTGGCCGCAGCCTCATCAGTGTGCTCGGAGAGGGAGATGGAGAGAGAGGGCGGAGAGAGAGGCCGGCCGAGGCGAGAGGAAGCTGGGGAGAGGCGGGGAGCGGGCGGCCGGCGCCGGCGCAGCCCGGGCAGGGCCCGTGAGGGCCGGGGAAAGCCGGTGAGGCTCCGGCTGGGGCTGTTATGTGTCGCCGGACCGGGCGAGTCGCTCTCGCAGAAACACAAAGAAACCCCGGCGTTCGCTCGCCCCAGCCCGGAGCCCGCGCCCGGCGCCCAGCGCGCCATTGGCCGAGCACGGCTCGCGGCGCTCGGCGAATTTTCGATCACAAAGACCCAACTCGCGCAGAGCGAAAGCAGCCGCCCAGGGCCCCTCGCCCACCCTCTCCCTACTCCCTATCGCGCTCTCCTCCTTTCAAAAGTGAAAGGAAAAAAGAAAACCGAGGTTTTTTTTTTTTTTTTTAGCAGAATGTTAATCCACGGAGGGTCACATGAGCGCTGCCCGGGCGGCAGCGTTAATACGGCGAAGTGCATAAAATTGCCATTTGTAATTTGAACCTCCTGTACAAAAGTACAATCTCAGGTTGGTTTTTTTTTGAGAGGGTGGGGGTTGGGGAGAGGGGTGGGGAGGAGGGACATATGTTGAACATGCAGGAAAAAGAAGGAGAGAGAGAAACTGAGAGGAAAGAGAGAGAAGTAAACCAGGCTTTAAAACAACAACAACAACAACACCCCATCCCTTGCAGAAAGGCGAACTCGGATGAACTTGCAATCAATGCAAAGAAAATGGAAACAGCCCGAAGAGAGAGTAGAGGAGGAAATCAGTCGGCCAAAGCATGCGGATTTGGGGGTCTAGGTTCCAGTGCAGAACTTGCTTCTAGTATAAACCCCCTTGCAGCTGCAATACGAAGAGAAGAGCTTGGGGCTTCTGTGTCCTTACCCAGAGCAGGCTAGCCAAACGCACCCAGGGCCCCGGGACCCCAGGCGAGGGGGAAGAAATGAGAGGCCGATACCTTCCCGTCTCATGCCCACTTTGAGGCACTTTTTGAGGCGGCAGTACTGGCACTGGTTGCGGTGGTGCTGGTCGATGGGACAGTTCCGGTTGGCGCGGCACGTGTAGCTCAGGTTCCTCCGCACACTGCGCTTGAAGAAGCTCTTGCAGCCCTCGCACGTGAACTGGCCGTAGTGCTTGCCGCTCGACTTGTCCCCGCACACCACGCACTCGATGTGCTGCTGCTGCTGCTGCTTGTCGCCGCCCGGGCCGCCAGGGCCGCCCTGGCCGCCGGCCGCCGTCTGGGCCGGCGTGCTGGCCGGGCCCCCTTGGCCGGGCGTCTGTGGCGTGTGCGGGGCGCCGGGCGGCGGGCCGGGCACGGGCGGCGCCTGCGAGGCCTGGCTGCCCTGCGAGCCGGGCACCTCGTCCTGGGGGTCGCGCCACGTGCTGACTACCATTGCCATATCTATGGGGGCCGCGTCCGGACTTCCTGCTCCCCTGGCTGCGGGCGGCGGCGGCTCCCGGGTCTCGGGCTCCGGCGCCGCCTTTTGTGTGCGCGAGGGTGCGAGAGGGCGCGGGAGGGCGCCCCGGGTGTCTCGGGGGCTGGTTGGTTGAGGTTGGTTAGTTTTTCCTTTTTTGTTTCTGCTTTTGCAAAGTTTTGTCGATTGCTTGTCTGGCCCGGTGTGTTTGTTTTGTTTGTTTCCCTCGGCTCAGCTTTGTTGGTTTCGGGGGGCTTTCCGCCGGGAGGGGAGGGGATGGGGCCAGGGGAGAGCGAGTGGCAGCAGAACGTGGAGAGAGAGGGAGGGGAGGGAGAGCTGTAAGTCGATTGTCTGGCTTCAAGACAGAAGTAGGAGGCAAAAAAAAAAAAAAAAAATCTCTCCAAAGATCTCGCTCGCTCGCTCTCCCTCCCTCTCTCGTTCACTCTCTCGCTCTCAGAGCTGGTGTGCCGAGGAGTTGGAGGAGGAGGAGGAAGAGGAGGAGGAAGAGGAGGAGGAGGAGAGGCGACTGTCCGGGGGCCAAGTCCAGGGCAGCCCACAGTCAGCCATTCAGGAAAGCCATCGAAATCAGGAGGACTAGGAGAGCGGAGGCGCCGGTCGCGGGCGCGCCCAGAGAGCCGGGCAGGCCGGGGCGGAGGCCGGCGGCCCGCGGAGTGGCCGGAGCGCTGCCCGGGTCCGGGGGAATCAGCATGAAAGTGGTCCGCGTCGGGCGCTGCGCGGCGTCGTCCTGGCGCTGGGCCGCCGCCGCCGCCTGCCCCGGGCGCCCGGCGCGCGCCTCGCTCGCTCCGGCCGCCGCCGCCCGCTTTCGCCGGATGGAGGCCGCTCGCCGCTCCCTGCGGGCCGCTCGTGCCGCCGCCGCCGCCGGAGCCGCCGCCGAAGCCGCCGGGTCGGGCCCGGAGCCGCCGCGTCTAGCGCCGCCGCCGCCGCTGAAGCCGCTGCTGCCGCTGTTGCCGCCGCCGGAGCCGCCGCTGCTGCTGCTGCTGCCGCCGCCGCCTCACACACATAGGGAAAGAGTCAACTCGCCGGCGGCGGGGGAGAAATGATAAAAGAGAGAGAGGAGGGCAGATCACCACCTAGAAGCACATCCTTCGTGCGCAGAGGGGGGAGAAAAAGACGGAGAGAAAGAATGAAAGAGGGGAAAAAAGGCAGCACGGCACCCGGAGAAAGGAGGCAACTCGGGGAGAGGAGGAGGAGGAGAAGAAAACGCACACGCGCGCACGCACACACACACCGCGGAGAGAAAAGAACAGAGAATCAAAGTGATCAAATATGCTAAAAAGGGGGGCGCGGGAGGGAATGCGATTTATAGGCGCCGGGGCTGGCAGAAGTGGCTTCTCCGCGATCAGCTCACTGAGCTCTCTATATAGTGAACTTTGACACGACTGCTGCAACTTAGCGCACGTTGCCATGGCGACGGCGCGCCTTATAAGGCAGCAGCCGGGGTTGGCCTGGCCAGGCGCGCGCGCGCCGCCCCCTCGCCGTCATTGGCCGGAGCGCGGCGGCCCCGCCATGGCGGCCGCGGGCGCAGCCCGGTCCTAGCGCGAGCGGCGTCGCGGACGCGGCGCGGGGCGCGCGGGGCGCGCGGGGGGCGAGGGGGGCGAGGGGGGCGGGGAGGGGGCGGCCGCGCTGCCGCCGCAGCCGAGCGGGGGATGGGCTCCTGCCGGCCCGGGCCGCGCGGCCCCCGCGCTCTCCGGGCCCCGCACTCCAGGTTTCCGCCCCAGCGGGGAGAGGAGCGCGGCGCGCACACACAACGCCTCTTAAAGGCTCCGCGAGAGGCTTTGGATGGAATCGAGGACTTCGCCTCTCGCAACTTGGCGATGCCACGGAATCCGCCGCTCGCGCACCACCCGGGACTCCCGGCGTATCTTTGTGCCCACAATGCCAGAGAAAGAGAAAAGTTGCCCGGTTTCTTTGCAGAAGGGTAGTGGGTGGGGATGGGAAGGTGCCGCGCACCGAGCTTGCAGGCGTTTTCCAAACGAATGATTTGGTCAAATCCGGGTGATGGTAGACCCTTCTCTTAATCAACTCTGATCACTTGCTTGGTTTGGTGGCTCACTTTTTTTTTTTCTTTTTTAGAGGAGAAAAGCCGTTCAGTATCTGTCTTTTCCTTGTAGAGTTAACATTTCACAGGTATGTGGCCTGACATTTTAATTGCTCGAATAAAGCATCTCGGATGCTGAGAATCAGGAGTAGACTTCATCTCGTTGTCATGACGCAATTAAAATCAGTTTTCCTCAACTTTATCCTCTTTCGTTAGTTTTGGCTAACTGGCAAGCCAACGTCCTGCCACACACCCAGTTGTGGTGAGAGCAGAAAAGACCGTTCTGCTCGCTGATGGACAAGCGGAGGCAGCCTCCCAGCCTCCCTTGTGCGTACCCTCTGTACACATATGTAAGTGCACACGCATCAGATGCACATTTGTCAATGTACACAGACAAAGACTTCAGCGACTATGCTGCTAGGTCATAGAACAGTTGAGTACCGACTTCATTGTTTCTCAAGTTCCTTTTAAGCATTCATACAATCATTAAAATACACCCAGAGATTCTGCCCCAAATTGGGAATAATAGCAAGTACAACTCACAAGAACCACACACAAGCCATATTCTCTCTCAAGGGATCCACTGCAATAAGAACAGCTTCTAGCCTCTACCGTTTTGCTCCATGTGCTAAAATCGTCGACACAGTTGTGTCTCTGAGGTACAGGACATTTGGTTTTAAACATCAAACACCTAGAATCGCCCCCCCCAGAACACACTTTATTTCAACACAGTAACCTTTTTGTTTGATTATGACAAGTTAGTGGATGATGATTATTCCACATGTATAGAAGAAAATTGTGACTCCATCCTACACATTTTGCACCAAGAAAAAACTGTAAACTGGCAAGCCAACCGGGTTTATGAACAATTAAAATATTTTACACAAAACATGCTGAGCTTCAGGAAACGTGAACACATATAAATAGTAAATTAACAACCAAAAGAAAGCATCCTCGATAGTTCAAAAAATTGAAGAGTGGCAGGATTTAAAAAATAAGTAAACCATCCATATAACTGACATGCGGAGATTGCGTTTTGCACTTAACACCCTTCACACACACAGGCAGAATACAAGGTAGAAACTAAGGGAAGATACAGGCAGATAGGAGCTAGTTTTTAGAGAAGGAAAAATCCTCTTGACGCTTCATTCCTGAAACCTTCTGAGCCCTTACCCTTTCTCCGCTGAAATCACATATTTCACTAGAGCTGCAGGTGCTGGGAATGTATGAGAGTTGTAAAAAAAAAAAAAAAAAAAAAAAAAAAAGACCTATAGTGGACACTAAACTATCATAAACCTGGTGTGTAATGAGATTGCCACAGAGCGAAGCTAGGCAGAGAATTTCAGGTTGATTAGAGACACAACATAACTTTCTCCTAAAGAGGACAAGAAGGATGGAAAAGAAATCATTTTCAGTGAAGATTTTTTTTCTCCCTCTCTTTCAACCTCTATGATTTGAAGAATTACCTAATGCTGCAAATGTCAGTAGATTGTCTGCAAACTCAGCAGAGGTGTGGTGGGGCTGGGGTTGAGATAGGAAATCTAATGGGCATTCCCATCTCAATTTAATAGAAGATGAGAACAATTGATTATAGGGAAATCTTAATCTTGCTTCTTAAGTGCAGAAGCCTCCATAGCAAGATCACCTTTTACAAACATGCAGTGGGAAAATTTGAGGAGGAAGAGCTTTCCCAGTCCACTTAGAGATTTTTTCTGTTTCAAGTATGCTCTGATGGCCTCAGATTTAAAATGAAGAATTTCCCAACCATCTCCAACAGAACTGGAGCCTGCTAGGCACACGACCACAGGGCTGCCATGAAGTCAGAGGTGTTTCGCTGTGTATTTTAGGACTCATTTGGTAATGGGGATGCTATTACAAAGGAAACAAAATCCTGTAAAAATTGTAGTTAATTTTACTGCATAGAAGAAGAGAGAGAATTGCAGACTGAGAAGAAAAAAGAGGGGAAAATATTTTAAAATGCCTTCTTTAGAGATGCTCATAAAACAGCTCTAAGACCAAAAGATAAATATCAATATGTTGTTACTATTTTTTTTAAAAATGCAGCCCAGTCTTTTATTGCAGATGTAAATTTATTTTAATGAGACGAATGGCAAGCTTTAATTTGGCTGGAGAAAGTTGGAAAAACATTTGTCTTACTCTGGGGGGAAAAAAAGAAAACCCACCCAGGAATATGATTTTCTTGCAGAATGTGGCCTGACGGCTGTAATTCTTCACAAATTAAATCACAATATGAATACAGACCCCAGCAAATGCTGAATTTAACTCTGAACTCAGTAGAAGCCAGTTCTGTCCACCAGGATTCATTGAATTCCTCTTTTCCCTCAATCTAGTCCGTGTGTGTTTTTCTCTTCCACCACACTGGAGCTCCATGAATAGGGAAAGGGGCTTCCATTGTGTCCCTCTGAACTTCCAAGTCAATGCAATTTTTAACCACTGGCTTGTGGTACTTTGAAAATCACCAGGGGCTGTCAGAGTTGGGTCCTCTGAAAAATTTACAGTGCTAAATCAGAGCATATGCTGGGAGGGAAAAAATTGCTTAAGATTGGAGCAAGTACAGTATCTGTCTGCCCCCTAGTGTAAGAGTCCTCGCTGCCTAAAATTCAACTTTAAAAGAAAAGGAGCTCTTAAAGGGAAACGACTTTGGGCTCACGTAGGCATAGGAGAATGAAACTTCTGTACATTTTAATCTGAATAATTCTTCAGGATTTAAAATTAATTGGCTCTGGCTTGGTTGGACCGCACTCGGATCTCGCCACCTCTGCATTTCCCGAGTCACTGGCGGAGAGGTGATTTTTTTTTTTTTCTCCCTGAACTGGGTTTGTGTGCGTCCCCCTCAACCCCCTCCTCTCTTTTTCTTTCTCTGTCTCTGTCGTCTCTCTCGCTGGCTTTTTAAAAATGAGGAACTGTTCCTTGAACGTTCTGGACAGAGCATAGAATTGCTTCTTAAGTCAGCCCGACGCGGTTGCAATAGACAGCAAAAAGGTAAACGTTTGCCTGAAATCCGCACGCCAGCTCCACCACCCCGCCCGATGGTGAGTACCCTTCTCGTTGCGATTCTCCTCCTAGCTTAACCGAGCGCTCGCCTCCCCGAGCCGCGGCCGAGGGCGCCGGGCACAGCTTTTCTCCCTCCCCGCCTGCCGGCTGTCAGTTGCACAAGGTTGCAAAACGCAGCGCAGAGGCAAATCGAACAGTAAATTCTGATCCTTAGTGCGAGCCTAGCAGCTCCTTTGCTAGAAAACCGAGTCGTCTATTGCTTGGAAAAACACGCTTATAGGACTGGTTTTTAGTTTGCTCTATCGAAGGAAATGAGTTTGAGGAGACAGGACGAGGAGATGGGAGGCACCGCAGTCTTTACGCTTCGGTTTAATCATATTTTGGCAGCTTTGCAATTGTATTTTCCCCCTCTCCCCCCTCCACCACCTCTCCTACCGCACACATGTAATAAAATATGGCAATGCATTGAATTGACTGTCCCCCCTTCCCCGAACCCCTCAAACCACAGTCCTAGGCATTTCATACACGTTAGCAATCCGATTTTTTGAAAAATCCCAAGTCATCCCCATCCCCACACAGCACAAGGAGAAAAGTGAGAAAGGAGAGAGAGAGAGAAAAAATACTGTAAGTAAACATACCAAAACCATATTTGCCTTGTTCAAGGTCCCAAACCGCTTGCATCTTCCTTCTAAACTGGAATAACTCTCCTTTAGTTTGGCGGGTGAAATAAACGCTTTGTTGGCCCCCTGAAAAGATGTGCCTTTGATAATTAAAGAGAATCTCCTCCTCGATGTTTATCTAAGCGATTGTGCAAACTGATAAAAAGTAGGCACTAGCCTGCAGGGAAAAAGAGGAAAGGTGAAGGGAGAGATCTTCCACCTCAAGGAAGTGCTTCCCCATGTATTAGGCGCTCTCAGCCTTGGAAAACCCTGCACACTAACTTTAGAGAGACGAGCTTTCAGGGAGCTTTGTACATAGCTGCTGAGGAATGCAAGCCTCGCCTTTAAGAAAAAAACCCCCAAACCGTAGGTAGGAGATGTCTGGAGTGATCCTTGTCTCTCATCTCATTCCTTAGAAGGAAGAGTGCGTTGTTACACCTTGTTTGGGGCTGGAAAGACGAGACTTTAAAAACACCCGTCCAATTGAAAAAAATCTCCCAACTTAATGAGTTTAGTCGGAGGCTGGAGCAAACGGCTCAGCCTCAGCAGAAAACCGCCAACAACTGTAGGCGATATTGCAAAGCAAGACGACCCGAGGCACAGCCAAATTCCACTGTTTGGGGTCGAGAGGGATGGAGGCTAATCCTAAAGCAAGTTGGAAAAAAACAGAGGTGGGAGAGGAGGGGGAAAAAGCAGCAGCCTCCCAGACTGGCAGACAAGCTCCCCTCGCCCTGGTTCAAAGATAGAACTTGAAACAGGAGGGCAACATTTTTCCTAGGAATCGGTTGGAATCCTCATTTTCTACTTTTAACTCAAGTCCCCCAAAGTGATATTTCCCTCTCCCCTGCAGATTCGTGCACCCCCTTTTCCAGTCCCCATTCTAGAACTTTCCTGAAGAAGAAACCTATTTCTTTTGGGGGGAGGAGTTCCCCATTTCATGTCTTCAGATAATGAATGCTTAATTCACCCCCTCCCTTCCTCCACCCCCCAAAATGAATAAAGGAAGCAGGAATACAGTAACTACCGAAAACTGAAAATAAACTATGCCGCCTCTCGCAGTTTAATACAGTTTTAACTAATGGATTTTTTTGTTTTGTTTTGTTTTAAGAGAAGAATAATGGGGAAACACGGATCTTTTATTTTAGGAAACTGTTATGGTAAGATGTATGTCAGACTTGACAAATGGAACTAACGCTCTTCGGCTGCTTCTTGTCCTTGTCTTAAACAGGAATTAAGTTAAACACAGTGCTGAATGTTAATTACATGTTTACTGGCTAATGAAAATTACAAATGGTTTTGCCACCTCAAACAATGATGAAAACTCTGAAGACACTGTAATTATATACTTTGAGGGAAATAACTCAGAATATTGATCATAAGAAGTGTAAATCTTTTTTTAACTATTCATTAATACCATAAATATGGGCTACAGAAGTTTTTCCTTGAGGTTTGTCTCATCAGTTACACCGAGTGGATGGATGGTGAGGTTCCTCTGGGGAGGTGGTGAACTCATTCTCTTATAGAAGGAGGCCACTTGTGTAACTCAGGGGTGCCCCCCTCCCTTTCGCCCCCGCCCCCTTTAACCCCAGCAGAAGGTCGAGGGTTAGTTGAACAGGGGGGCTGGGCTCAGGGCAGGTGAAGGTGATCACAGCCCAGCCTCTCCCCTCCCCTCCCGTGCCCTCCTCTCTCCTCCTCCCTCTCCTCCCTTCCCTGCCAGGTCTGATCGATGACCACCTTCCCCAGCCTGGGCGCCTGTCGGATAACCTGGCATTTGGGTTCCTAATGGAGGACAACTCACCGCCACCCAGAGACGCAGCCCTAACAACTTAAGGTCCCGCTTTCAGAGGCGGCTAGGGCAGTTCATTGCAAAAGAAGAAAAAAAAGTTGAGGGTGGAGGTGGTTATTGGGTAAGGTGGCTCCGGCAGCGGATCCAGAACTGATTTCCCTGGGTTTGGGAGTAGAGAAATATGGTTTGATTTGGTTTTCACTTTGGCCTGAGTTGTAGCTCTGCACTCTGTAGTGTGGCAGCCACTCTCATCTTGGGGGTCAAAGGTGAGGGCTGCACTAACCCTAAAAGGCTGGTCTGGCCTGGCCAGAAGGCCGAGCAGGCGCAGGAGCGGGGGTTGTCAACCATAGTGCCCGGCGCTTCCGAAGGGGGTGCCTGTGCAACCCGCATGCGGGGGACACAGAACCGACAGCGGGTTTTAAGTGCAATATTGAGGATTTTTAAAAGTGCCCTAAGCTTGTGGGACTGGAGTCCTCTTTTTCCCTGAGAATTCCCAAGGCGCTGGTCTTTGTCTTAGAAGGAATGGAGTTTCTGAATGGTGTGAAAGGGACAGAGAGGGTCGCTTCAAATCGATTTTACTTGTCCTTTCTGTCTTTTCGGATCAACGCCCTTCAATGGGCACAGAGGTGCTCTTTCAACCAAAAACTTGTGCTACATTTTCTGCCTGTATTGGTGCTAAATACAATAAGCACTGGGCAGATTTTTTTTCTTTGCTCTCCAAAGCAAGAAAGCACCCTAATTAAATTGTTTTATACGGACAGTCAAGACGGACCAATTAAGTATGCATTAGTATAAAGATATAGTCTGCAGATAAGGCCGTTTAGAAAATCATGTGTGGGACAAAAGAGAGGGCGCTAACGTTGGGGAGGGGTGCTTGGACCCCGCAAGGTCGCTCACCTTCCTGCCTGGGCCCCGGGGAATTGCAGAGGCCCGGACCCCAGGTGAGAAGGGAGCAGGCCCGCTAACAGGTGGGCGACAGTGTTGGAGTCTTTCAGGCCCGCGCCCCTGGCCGACCCTGAAGAGCAGTGGAGCCCGAGGGCGGGTGTGGGGGGCGGTTAGTATCCCTTACATCCTCCTACTTGGACAATGTAGCCGTCAGAGGTGGCAGGTCCTGTAGGAGGGGGCGAGAGCGTACTGTGCCCCCACTCACAGTCGGGCCCATTGCCTGGTGTCTGGGTCCGGGGCGCGGCCCTGCGATAAAGAGTGTGCGCCCGAGGAGGCCAGGAGGGCCGGGGGACACGGACACTGCCACTGCCGCGGCTGCAGCCCTCTGGCAGCCAAGATCAGGGTTGGAGGCCCTTTTCCAGCAGCTCCAAACTAAGCGTTTTTTCGCTTCTAAGGAAACGAGAGCATCTCCGCGAGGAAAGTAAAGTTCCCACCCGACGCCTTCCGGCCCCAGGGGCGTCGAGGACCTGCCGCAGAAGTAGGGGAAGGATCCAGAGTCGGAGAAAAGGTAGCGAGGAGAGTGGCTCCTGGGTCGGCGAACGCAGCTCTGCGCTTCTCCACCCCCTCTCCGTCCTCTGAGGTGTGGGCGGGCGGAGTGCATCTCGCCCCGAAGGTGACGACCCCCAGAGCGGGGGCCTGGGCCTCCCCGCGTCGCGGCGCAGGGCTGTGACAGGTGGTCCCCGGGCCGCGCGGGCACGAGCGCAGCGCACTGCGGCTGGAAGGGCGCGCGGGGCGCACAGGGCGCCTGTGGTCGGGGGCGGGGGGAAGGTGGGGGCGAGAATTAGAGCCTGGGGAGGTGGCTGAATGTCAAAAGTAAAAAGGTCGAAAAGCCAATTTTCCAGGAGCGCGTTCGCCCCCCTTTGCTGGTTGCAAAGGCCGTAAATCAGCGGCCGGCGGCGAGGGCGGGAGGAGACCCCTCGGCGGGCTCGGTGCGGCCCCGCCCGGACCGTGCGCACCTCCCGGTGGGCCCCGAATCGATCTGAAGCCTAGCTGAGGATGTCACCGCACTAAATATTTACTGATCACACACAAATAGCCGGGGCTCGAACGATTTTCCTCTGTGAGGAGAGCGCAGAGAGAAGGGTAAATCATTTTATTAGTGTGGATAAAGCCCAGAGCACACTCCGGGCTGGAGTGTTTTAAGATGTGTCTTCAACGGGATGAAAAGAGTTAGGGAAATCGATACGGAGTGATTAGAAGCCCCCCGGGTGACGAAGGGGGCCGGGGCTTTCAGGGATTTGGCGATGCCGAGAGGGGGGAGCAAGCCTCGAGGGGGGCGGCCCGACCACCGCCGCGGAGCTGCCGGGCGCAGGCCTCCGTCCCTCCCTCCTCGACGGGAGACGCGAGGGCGCAGCAAGGGGCAGGCAGTCCGCCGCGGTCCAGCTTCCCGGGGCCGGCGCCGGGTGAAAGCTGCGCGGGCGGCCGCGGGGCCGAGGGCTTGGGAGCTACGGGCTCCACGCCGCGAGTGACGGTGGTCAGGTGGCCACGGGAGTGGATCCCGGGCCCGGCGCGGGGACGCCAGCAGGTTCTCCTGGAGCGCGATCTCTCCAGGCAGGCGCCTGGAGTAAAGGTGTGGCCCAGATGGGTTGCATTTCTCCCCCAGCCGCGACCTGCAGCATCCCCGAACTTTCTCCTTGATACACCTCGGCCCCTCATCTCCTTTAATGTTTTCAAAGAGGACGCAGCAGCCCAGCCCGGCTAGGTGCCTCTTCCTCCCACCCACCCTGTGTCGATGGTGGCCGCCGGGTGGCAGAACCCGCTGCGGACCGCAGGGCGAATGGATTCCAGGTTCAGGGTTCTTGGGCAGGTGGGGGGAAGTCTGAGGCCGACGAAGAAGGCAGGGACAGGGCAACATACACCAACGAAGCCCCCAGGACCTCTCCGTTCTCTCCAGGGCGAGAAGTCAGCTTTGAGGCTATCAAACCACACTTCAGCGATGGAGGTCGGTCTGGGGCCCCAAGGCTGGGCGCAGGAGCCTAACGTGGCGGAGGTGCGAAGGCTTGTAGGGCTTGCTGAAGTTAGCAAGGCTGAGGGGGGAGTTTCCCGGGAGGGAGAGGAAAACCTTCTCCCCAAACTGAAGCAGGGAAGTCCTGGCGCAAAAATGGCTTTTACACTTCTGGAAGCGGGAGTCTCGCTCGCTACTGTGAACAAACCTTGAGGTTCAAAACAGCTGCAAATAATCAGGAAGGCACTAATTTCAGGGGGAAAGGAGGGGCAGAAGGTGAAGAAAGGGGAGAATCTTTTTCGTTTCTCCTCTCTTTTTCCGTTCCTGACCTTTTCCTAAAAATCTGCTGTTCCTGAAGAAACTGATTGATTGATTGATTATTTATTTATTTATTTATTTATTTATTTATTTCCCTTCTCCATCAATTGCTCAATTTTCTTGACAGTTTGAGGAATTCAGTTCAGGCTGCCCTGCCCTACTCGACTCCTCGGTGCAGCAGGAAATATATCTGCAGACCCAATTAACCGTTTTCCAGAAGGGAGAAATTTTTTAAAAAAATATTTGAATCCCAGTGGATTGGAGCGATACATTCAGGTGTGAGGCGATTGGTGCCTCGAATTCCTTCCTCGGTAATCCTCTAATTCCTGCGATGGAAGCTCGAGAGCATAGCTGACCTGGAGGCTGTCAGGAGCCGGTGCTCCATTAACCCCTTCCTGGTCTTGGCCAGAGCAAAGGTTAACTACACTAATATACCAAAGGGGCTGTAGCAAAAAGGAAGGAAGGAAGGAAGGAAGGAAGAAAAGAAGGAAGGAGGGAAGGAGGAGAGAAGGAAGGAAGGAAGGAGGGAAGGAGGGAGGGAGGGAGGGTAAATTTACCCTAGTTGCAAGGATTTTAGAGCTCTCTGCCCTTCACTGGTCCTCCCCAACCCACACCCTTCCTATGAAAGCAGCTTTCCTTTCAGGGAGACAGCAGTCTCATCCATGAAGGCAGCTCACTCTGTGGAGATGGACTTTAGGGAATAAGAAAACATAACGTAGTGAAATATTTTCTTCCATTTAACTAACCACTCAGTTCACTTTAAAGATATTTCTAACATGTATACAACAATAGATGATTGTGGGAGGGCGTTTAACCCCCCCAACACAATACAAGTTTTACTTTCTTTTATTTAAGTAAAAGCTAATATAGAATCTTGTCAGTAGCCAAATTATTGCCAAAAAATCTGAATGAGGTTAGGAAAATATGTTCTGCTGGCTTCAAACCTGGTGGCATTTTAATGGGTAGTTATATAATAGTTATGTGCATGAAGGTGTATGCACATGGGTGTGTGTATATTCTTATGGTGTTAGAAGTTCCTTGATGGATTAAAGGTTCATTTACTCAAGCACTAGATAGAGACTGTCACTCATGTGTACATGCCGGGGGTCTGGCAGAAAGCAGTGCAAAAAAGAGTTTTGAATGAGCTCCTTGGAATCACTATTGTTGAAATACAAGCTGAAGCAACTTAGTAATGGTAAAGCTATTGTGCATTGCAGAATCATCGAAAGACACTTCAAAGTAAAATTGTCAATTTTCAGTTTGGTAGCTGCGGCAGGGCATTTAAACAAAAGGTGAGCATCATTTGCTTAATATATTTACTTAAAAATTCAGCAATAAGCTACTCTGTTTATCTTACTTTTCAATGAATTGAAAAATTAAAAGAGACTAGGCTTAGCTAGAGATGATAGCATAAGAGGCTTGCTACCCATATCATCAAGTCTGATGGGCGCTATACATGCTTTTAATATTAGATTGCAGAGCAACTCCTGCTGACAAAGTTCCAAAGACATGGAAAGCCATGTGGACATTTAGAAGTGGACAGAATGAGGAGAGATTGTCTGATTCTGTTTTTTTTTTTTTCCTCTTTCTCAAGAGCCTGATAGTGAAATCTTAAAAATGACAGTTCATCTTTGGTATGTCAAAAAAACCCATTAATCAAATGGTATCAAGTGCCAGTCATTTAAATGTGAAGGTGTTAGCAAGGCAGATATCCACATAAATTAGTATTGTTAATTAGTTGCATCAATGTACTTAACGAAAATATAAACTGAACAACAATGGGGATCTATCTGATTTAATTTTCTTTAGCCATGAACTCAGGTGAATTTCAGAAGGGCAGAAATAATTTAAGGACTAATTTCCATTCTATTGGTTTTTAGAAGGCTAAAAACAATCAGTTTCTATATAAAGCATAAGATTAGAGAATTAAGTAGATGGAGAAAGACAGACACACTGCCATAATAAAAAAAAAATATGTATGAATTTCAAATGTATTTAATGAATTAATTTACCAACTGCATTTCTCCCCTTGAAACGTTGAAGGTTCACATTAAAAATGCAGGACTTCTGTGCAAAATTTGGATGAGGCTGTTTAACGTAATATTCTGCTTCTTGACCATAAGAAGTATCAGCTTGATAGTTTACCAAGTGTAACATTTAAACAAAATTAACACTAGTCTTTTAATTTTGAATACAGGATAGAGAAAGGTGCTTTTCCTATCTGCCCATTACAACTGATAATAAATTAATTAACCTCATCGAAGAGATTATTATGTGCTTGACTGAGGTAAATTGATCGAGATAATATCACTTAAAATTGTTTACAGCAAAAGTGAAAACATAAAAGGATGGGAATATTGACTTCAGTGAAAAGTGTCACACTAGGTATTTTTGACAGGAGCACAGCACCTCACGTGTCAGGGAGAAGTTAAAAAATTAGTCAATCTTATTTCTTTGCAGAGCGTAAGTTAATAACTTATTTGTTGGCTCCAAAAGTTATGTTGCAAATTTTCATCTTGTGGGTACTTTGTTGCCATATTGACATACAATTAGGAAGATTTTAGGATTGTGAAATTTAAGCAGTAGGGGGTAGAGTTAAAAAGATATTTTTATTCGTAGTCTCCAAGACCTATGCTTATCTACTCATTGATTTTTTTATATGATTTTGGTTAATTTAATGGCTTCTAAATCATATACTATTTTGCTGAAGTCTACTTTGTTCATAAATTGAAAACAAATTCAAAGGCATCAGATCTTTTTCCGAAGTGCAATTGAATGTTCAGTTATTGAAGAGCTATTTAAATTTCTCAGGTTCTAGTAAAAACAAACACACTTACAAACACCTAATCTCTTCTTTCTTAGCAGCTCTTAAAATTGCAACCGGTATGGCTGAGGATGAATATTTTATATAAGAGCCTTTAACTCTCTTCCTATTTCACCCAGAAATGCCTTTAATTTGTCTTTTATGCTTATGTACTTTAAAAAGACATTGGTCAGTATGCAAGAATTATTCACCCCCTTTTAAAAACAGTGAATAAAAATTCTAATTATAGAGAAGAGGCTTGATGTTTACTCTGAAGTTTCAGGAACATATAAAGTTTTCGTAATAAACAAGAAGAAACTCTATCCTAGATAAATTTAAATAGGGCAGCTTGTGGGTATGGTTTATATTCATGTCCTCTACCTTCTTGCCTTTGGCACCAAAGCATCTGGGGTTTTGTCCTCACATACTTTCTATTGTTAACAGAGTGTTTTTTTGAGGTTAAAAAAATTTTCAAATTGTCTTGCCTTTATAGCTTAATGCATTGTTAAACTGAAAGATCAAATTGATTTCTGTGTTCAAATTCGTATGTCCAGGCAGTAATGAAGAGGTGAGGTTCTTTACCCCACCAACACAAAAACAAAAACAACATTACATATATGAGCTAAAAAGATTAAAAAACTTAGGATTCAATATGTTGGAAATACACACATATTGTTTTTACAATGGAGCTCTTAAAGAGAGATTTTTCATCTTGACTATCTACCGAGATGGGATACTTCAGTTTTATATACAAATTTCTAGATTTTAAGCGAACTTTAACAACATATCATCGCAGGCTTATTAAAGTGAAGGAAGATTTAAAAGTAAGCCTCCAAAATAAAAGACACAGATAAGTGACAGGACATGATGGCTGGCCTCAGGTTTTAGGGATGTTACAAAAGTTTTATTTTAAAAATTACAATAACATCCTTTTTTCATCAAGTGTGAAACAAGATGATTATAGGAGAAAAAAAGAAGAAAAAGATTTCCTCTCATTCTCCCCCACTAAAAAACCGAAACAACAACAAAAAGCAAAAACAAACCCCAATCCTAAACCCTACCTAAGAAGCCCCTTACCACTTTGCAGAAAGTTTCTGTGTAACTGTGGGTCCTGCCAAAGCTCCCAGTTGGTCTACTTTTTAAATGCGGCAGACAGTGGTTAGACTTTAATCAGCAGCCTGGCAGCCTCGAGTAGGAGGCTGACTTTGGGAGCTCAACTGCAGGTGACCTACCACTTAGAGGTAAACTTTGGAAAGCAACTGATGAAAGTTACCCTTTCCTTTCCAAAAGAGGTTTTCAGAGGCGGGACAGTGAGAGCCGATATAACCAATTTTATGATTTTCTGAGGCATTCCTAACTTTTACGATTCCCCCCTCCTTCTTTACTATCTGTCTTTGTGCCTCCAGGGCCAGGAAAGAGCAGGGCAGATTCTAGATTGCTTTCAGAGTTTGCCTTCTCTGATGATGGATTACCATGTCAATTTAAACGGCATAGGATTAATTTGTTTCAATGATTTCTCTTTAGGCTGAATGCCAGCCGTTTTTCTATCTCTCCCCTTGCTCTTCAGAACAACCACCAAAAAAAAAAGATACTTCTTTCCATATTCTAAGTTAGGAGACAATAATAGAAATAGACAAGTTAGGTGTAATGTTGCAGCACAGTTATAGGTCTGAGTGTTTTTATCTCCGCCTAAGAGGCTGAAACATACAGTCAGTCACATTAAAATGAAATTGAACTCAACGTTTATTCAATAAATACTTGTCTTGTAGATAATCCAGTGCCGAGTGCTTTTGACACATAAGGACTTAATTTGTCTTGGATAGCAAGTTATTAATATGGCACATTTAAACTTGCCACCTACAGTAAGGTTATTGAGATCTATAACAAACTCAAATGATCATTGTGAAAAATAATTTGTGTGAGGAAGGGAGACCTTTTGGAGAATGCGTATCTTTATAATATATATATCTTTACACACACATAGTAAAAGCATGTACATTTCAGATCACATATGGACAAAAAAGTTCAATGAAGTTAAAAAAATTCCATTTATTATGCAGATGTATCTAACCTTTCCAAAATAAGAATGTATCAGAGAATTTTCCCTTTGGAAAGATTTCTACAGTGCACAAGAAAAATGCTGTTCAAATCCTATTTCTTTGCAAGACCAAACCCACTATGAGGTTGAAAATGGCACAAAAAAGCACTTAGGTACAATCCAAAATCAAACACCCCCTCCACATTTTTCACCTACACCAACCTTGCAGCCAGAGAGAGCATGTTGCCTGTAGAATAAAGGCAATTTGAGTGAAATAATGTATTCCTAAAGAGATTATTGTATTTCCTTCTCTAACGGGAGGCCCTCCAGCAGATGCAAAGGAAGAGGACAGGGGTTTTATCCTATGGACTGACTATGTCGAGTGCTTGTGGATATTTAAACCCTGGGCTTTTTTTTCACCCCCTTCTTTTCCTAATTGCCTCTCCTTTCCCCAGTATCCCCCTTCATTGAAATTAAACATCACAGTTCAGGATAATAAATTGCATTCCGAATATGAACACAAATAGGTTTTATAGCCTGCCCCTTTTCCAAAGCCCCTCACTGCATAGACGGCCTTCATTTGAGCAGGTTCTCCTTTCTAAGGACATATGCAATCAGAGGCCAGTGACTGTTAGAACTGGAATCTATGCAATTTTAATTTGCAAAAAAGTTGTTGGTTGTTAACCTTGGGGGAGATTGTGCATCTCTAAGAAACCAAATCTTTGAGAGCTCTCCCTGGGAAATGATGCTACACATGAGCAGAAAATCCAGGCAAGAAAGGCTAATTGAATGAAGAGAGAGAATTAGGTTAAAAAATAGAGTACAATCTAGTATCACATTTTCACCAGTGTAACTTGAAATGAAGGTGTCTTCAAGTCGCCAGTGATGCCAGAGTGTTTAGATGTTGGCCACAGATGGGAACACCTATTGAAATGTGTCTGAAGAAGATTAATAGGGCTTGTCACTGTTGGGAAAGCACTGCTTTGCTGTAAATTTCTACCAGCACAAGATGAATTACCGATGAATGCTCACTTATCAACCCCATCACTATCGTTCGACACTAAATCAAATTGAGAAGTTATCTACAATCAGAAAATTTCTTTTTAAAATAGACGTACACCTTTAGGCCCCAACTCTTTAATAATCCCACTCAAAAAACAATTCCCCATCCCCTGATGCTTCTTTAGCTTAAACAAATTAGATTTCAGTAATGAAGATATTTTTAAGTTCATACACAACGGCCAGCTGGTCAATAGCAAAGTTTGATAGTATTTTAATGAGGCTATGAAGGCTTCTTGGAAGTCACCATTTAATATTTCACAAAATGTGTTTTCTTTACTTTGAGTTATTTCTGTCCCTTACTTGGAAGGCAGAGAAGAGAGTGGTTTTGCGATTTTCCTGTTCTAAACCCCATACCTGTAACCTAATCATCATCTAATCCTGTGGTAAGATAAAATTATGAGAGACCTGCAAGTTTAGGTAGAGAACAGTAGATTGGATTAAATGGATGGCAATAATAATCGAGGAAATGCATTTATTCTTTTATGATTTAACAATGTTTCATATATATAATTTCTAAGGTGATTTGTTTGAGAAACCAAACAGTGGCATCTCTTTTATTATCTGTTAACCAACTGAAAGCATCCAGAGATTTTCCAACCTAGTAATAATAATGTTTTAATAAAACAATCAACCCCTGTGTTTTTATAGGGCTCTATCTGTTTAAAATGATCTCACATGCATAATTTATTTGATTTTTACTGAAATCCTGCACAGAGATTTTGAATTCCCATTTTGCTGATGAGTAAACCGAGGCTCAGAGAGTTATCTGAGATTATGGAGCCAATAGGAGCCCAGTCAGAATTCATACCTAGGTCTGCTAGGTTTCTTTCAGGGTCTTTTCACTCCAAGTCCTTATGTAAATGAAGAAGAAGATGATGATGATAGCAATGGCAGTTAACATTTACTATATACCAGAACTATGGTAAACATATGCATATGTTATTTTATTTAATCTCTGTACAACTCTTTGAGGTAGATACTGTTGTTATTTTTATGATTCAAGAGAAAAAACCCACAAAACAGACTTACAGAGCGTAGGGACTTGCCTGAAACTCACATTGCTAGTAAGTTGGGGACACGTTATTCAAATCCAGGAAGTCTACATTCAAAGCCACTGTCCTATTCTATGTTCCTGTTTCCAATTGCAAGGAATCTTCAACTGTACTGAGTAGTCACAAGAAATCTCACTTATTTTTGAAATATAAAAATCCTTCCAACTCTGAGGCAGTGTGTCCTAACAGAACAGACCCTAGTTTGGAAATAACGAGACCTAGGTTTAAATTCTAGCTTTACTGGTTACTATGTGATCACAACTTCTTTGGCCTTTATTTTCCTCTTCTCTAAAATGAGGTAGTTGGGTCAAATGAAGCTATGGGCATTGCATTTTGTGCTTCCTCTGTCATGATCTCTAAGAGGAAAGAGAAAAAACAGCCATCTCTACGGAGGTGAGTGGGGACGAGTGACATGAGGGACATGTTGAGAAGGTGTGGCTTGCATCTCTCAGAGACTGGTACTGGGGACACTCGGCCTTGGACGAGGTCTCCATTTTCTTCCTCTCTGCCTCCAGAAAGCTGAATACTTAAGATAGTGATGGTACTTTAGAAAACCATAGAATCTTAGACTTACAGGAAAAACTTTACCTCCCTTATTCCCAGATAAAGCAGAAGAAAACCCTGAAGTCTGGAGAGGTTAGGTGACTTACATAATGTCACCCAGCTGATTGGTGACAGGGTTGAAAGTAGACCCCTTTTCTCTTGGCCCCCAAACCAGAAACCCAACCTACTCCCTCCAAACATCTCCACCATGCTCTGCTCCTTACTCAACAAAAAACATGCTTTAGATCATCTGATCATGTCCCTATTATAGCTAATTCTCTGTTTTTTTGATATAATACTTTGTGTGGGTTGTTATTGGTTGTAATATGAAATCTTCCTAAATCTCTCCCACTATCATTTTTCATAAAGTCTATTAAGCTAAGCAGCCACACAGTCAAAGCTGCAATGAAGAATCACAGAATAATAAGAATATTCTGTAATCTCCATTAGGTCACTATAATATTCCAATCTGTACTTATTACAACCCTCCTCTGATGCTTACACAACCAAAATTGCTAGATTTATATTCTCTAATGGTTCCTCAATGGGAAAAACCTGTGTTTTTTATCTTTCTTTTCCTGTCCCAAATCACTCTTCCACATACATTGCCTGCTTTGGGAACCCCCGTCTGGGTTTAATCAGAAGTTGCAAGACAAAATGTGCATTATTAAGAAATATAAATATTTTCAGAAGCAATCAAAGGGATGAAAGATTGATTCAGCATGTAGATTGAATCTAATTCGAAGCAGCTTTGTTCTAATGAGGGCTACTGGGATAGAGCATCCAGAGCTGTCGTGACCACCAGTTGGAAATTCCAACTCATTAGAATAATCTGTCAGGATTTCTCTCCCTAGGTATGCTGAAATATTTTCTGCAAGGTGTATTCTCTCGTCTCTGGGCTGAGCCACCTTTCTTGCCACCCTAAGGGGCTTATAGTAGTTATCTTTGAGAAATTATGACTAATTCCTTCTTCCCTTTAGAGTTTAGATCAGCGAGGTGTACCTCCCTTTTCACAACTCAGAAGTTGGCTTAGCACTAACTTTCGTAAGAACATTTTGGCCTGGAGGCATCTGTATTACAATTTCTTTCTTGGCTTAATAAAAGGTATCACATTATCTACCTGGTCAATCTCTATTGGCTTTCAAAATAGAGACATGGAAAAACCTAATAAGCCTCATTAGGATATCTGCTTTAAAAACAACAGGCTGCCTCATTTAGCATGTTGCTTTGAAATGTCCCAGCAGAGCTGGGTGGCCAGTGCTGGAAGACAGGTATTGCTAATTTGGGATCTTTGTCAGTGGTAGAATTTTAATACACAAGGGATCAAACCCTGATTGTTGTATTTTGTTTTTGTTTTCTTTCTTTCCTTTAATCCCACTTTTTGTCCACATGGCCATGTGTGAGAGATGGCCTGATTTTCTTGATATGGTTCACTCATCCACAGCTGGAATTCCAAAGAGGACTGAAAATGTCTTTAAAATCAACACAACTCAGGGAGCCTGAGAGAACAAGTTTTCCTTTGTTGTAGGGTATAGTATTATTTGCTGTAGGTTTTTTGATATACATTCTAAATTAGGCCTGCAAAGGCATGCTTCATCTTTAATTCATCACTCTCAGCTGAAAGAGATTAGCAATGTCTAGCACGCACCCCTCGTATGGTGCTGACCTCATCAAGTATGGCCTGAAATTAATTAGCCTCATTCATACCAAATGGAAAAGGATAATGGAGCAGCATTTTAGAGATGACCATCACAAATTGTATGCGGCATATTTAAAAGGCCCCTATTTTCAAACCATGTAGATTAAAATTCTTTCCAGGGCTTACAATATGCCAGAGGTATCAAAGACCCAGCGCACAGCCTGGTCAGGTTTCGTGTGTATATGTTTGTTTGTGCGCATGCGTGTGCGAGCGTGCGTGCGTGCGTGCGTGCCGAGTTGTTTGTCGCCTGAATCTTAGAGGCTGTGTACAGACGTGTTCGTATTTAGCTGGCTTGCTATTTAGGGTGACACTGGGAATACTTCACCAACAAAAATTAGATGTTTGATACCGTCTTAAATATGCGGTAATAGAACACGTTAAGTGGACTTTTGTTGTTGTTATTACCATGAGTGGGCATGCCGGCGCAAACTTGGCTGCTATTTTCCAGTAAGATGCTATTCATCCTCTAGTTTAGAAACAGAAGAGCCTCTTAAAGAAATGCTCGACTTTTCTATTTTGAGTTATTTTTGAAACTTTGTATGTCTTTTTCCCAGTCCCTACTGTTTGATTATATTTTAAAATATGGTCGAGGACTAACTTGGATTACAGAATCACTTAAATTTACCATCTTTCTAAGATTAGCTGATTTTTCCCTTTAGGGGATTGACTAAGGGAGGCCAGCTTTTTGAATATCAAAACTGCTTTCTTTTCTAGCCAAAAAAATCTTGACCCTGGTTCTTTGGGATTCTCAAAGATGTAAAGTTTATTTTTATGAGCCCTCGTTTTGGCACTACAGATTAGAAGAAGAAAAAAAAGGTATGCCCTTTTTTGTTTTCAGGTTTTAATTTTTTAAATAATATAAAATGTTAATTTATGAAAAAGCGTCGGTAGTATTTGAGAGGAATTTTGAGTGTACATTTCTTAAGAAAAAAATTACCCCAGAATAACTGTTTGTTAAACTAAAAAGTAGATATTTGAAGTAATAGAACTACAAAGCTTCCACTGACCTGTTGGAGTGAAAAAATGCACTTTTAGGCAAATCATCTTTTTAGTTGATATATTAGTCTCCATATGTAAGTTATGTAAGATTATTTTGTCTTATATAAAACTGGAAGCACGTTGCCCATATCTCTGCAAGTGTAGGATTTAGAAATTTCTCTAAGCTCACTTTTACCTAATCTTCTCATCCCAGAAGGCCCCTTTATCTAACGGGCATATATCATTTATATGTACAAGATCATCAATCACAAACTGTGAACCTATCATTTTGACATAAAAGATCTATCCTTTAATCTCCCCAACCCTCTAGCATATAATTTGAGGAAATTAGCTAGCTTAAATTCTGGGCTTCTGACTTCTGGGGGATGAAATGTAAAAATGGAGAAAGCTTAAATTATACAAATTTGGTTTTAAAGTCACAGTTTAACTGAGCCAGGGATAAAAGTTGATGCACTGTAGATCTTTAAATGTTGACAGAAATAGATAATTTTGTTAATTATCAACTGGCCAATTTGGAATTTCATGGCCAATAAACACAGTATGAAATAGAGGGGAATATTTGCAAAGATAGCTTGACCCATTAAAGCACGTGTTACCAAAAATATATTTGCCTCATGATTATTTCTTATTGAGACAAAGACATGCATGCATTCTATAGTATTGCAATTTGCTCAAATACTGAACAGTGTGTGTCAATTTTTATTTAATTTTTTTAATCAACTGAGGTGAAAATGGCAGAAAAACCGTAAATATAAGGATTAAGGCTGCATGAAATTTGAGTTCATTCAAATGACAAACCCAAAGTAAAACTCAGATGAACTTACCAAGTTTCATTTGGCACCCACCTGAAACTATAAATCCTCTTTTGGCACTGGAGAGTAGAAGGAGAGTCTCCTAAAATTCAAACCAGGTTTTCCGAAACCTAACCCAGACTCAATAGTTGGGTTTTGAGTTCATAGCAAAACTTTCATCCCGATTTAGCTAATGATGAATAGATGATGAGCTGAGGGAAGAGAACTAGAAGATGTTTTTAGAATTGCAGTTTTGTCTTATTTTATTCCGTATTTCCTGTAACGTTCTGAAGTAGGAAAGGACAGTATATGAAGCAAATTTCCCATAATGTATGTCAAAAGATGAGCATGTATGAGCGCCCAGAGGGGAAATTGACCGTTCAGTATACATAGGGTTTTTTTTTAAAAAGGAGAACCTAGATGAAATATTATTAACTAACATTTCTTGAGTGCTTACTATAATCAGGCACTGTTTTAAGCACTGTATTAATTCAATTTAGTTTACCATAACAGTACCAGGCAGATACTATTATTTCCATTTTGCAGATGAGAAAGACAAGGCACAGGAAGGTTATATAACTTGCCCAAGGTTACACTGCTCCTGAAAGAGATTTGAAGCCCGGGATTTCTGGTTTTGGAATCTCTGTACTTAAGCATAAGGCCATACTGCCTCCCTAGAGAAAATACAATTAGAATGTTGTTTGGGAAACAAACTGATATGGACTATGAATGGGAGAGATCTTTTCCCATTTTTTAACTTCTGATAACAGTAGTAAATTTAATGAGAAAAGTCAAAGGAGAGAGAGTTCATTCTTGTCTAATCTTTTTATCCCAGAAGTAGGATGGGAGTTGACTCCCCAAATCTCCCATAAGTCTTTGCTGAGCTTCCACTTGGAATGCTACATATGTAAGATGCCTCAGTGCTAAAGAGAGTAAAGATAAACTGGGTGGAATTCAAATAAAAAAAGGACAAAAATGCCAGGATGAGAGGTTTGACTTGGGAGGAAAGATCAAAAGAACTGAATAAGTAATACTTGGAGAAGCAATAGTTAGTATAGATGTCAACAGCGTTCTAGAAACATTTAGAAGAAAAATTAAGAGTTAAACCTGTTACTAGAGAGGTTGGAAATAGATAAAGAGGAATGTCTAAGAGAAAAGCAAATTAAGGGAATTCAGATATTGTCATTGTCTTGCAAGACCCATAATGAAAGATATATTTTCTTGGAATAATAATGAAGCCCAAGCCAGAGATTTCACAGGGAAAACAAAAAATTGTTCCCTGTCTTGTGCAGACTAAAGCAGAAAAATAGGCTAAAAAATGATTTACATCATAATAATATGTGGAATGCCCCCGTAACCTTTATATTCACTCTCTCACTTATCCTTCATGATGAGTTTACAAGGTACATATTATTACCTCCACTTAACAGATATGAAAACTGAGGCTCAGGGAGGTTATGTTACCTGCCCAGGGTCACACACCCTGTAGCTCCCTGGTCCTCCCGAAGCCTGGTCTCCTCTCAGAACACCATACTATCCTCTCTCATACATCATCCCTGTGACTTTGACCAGAAGATGATGTCACAAAACAACTGGCATTAGGCCAAATTCATTACGGCACATTACCCTCAAGGGACATGCCGATAAGAACTCCTGAAATCTGGCTGGCATCCTCTAGGAGGTGGCCCAGTCTACTCGGCCCTTGCAGAAGCTGTGCATATTAAGTAAGCACACCGCAGTCAGCTTGGATGTGAGATCAAATGATAGATGGATGAACATACGAAAACCGAGTAGATCTCTCCAAGTAGGCCCCAAGCCTCCTGTGTTTACAGGCCCCTGAATGAAATCACCTGGCTGTTTATAGGAGTCTTAGTGCTGATGAAAAGACTGAGTTACACTCCAAACTTTTCCCTGCCAAAGAAGAAAAGTTCCAGATTCTTTAAAAAGTATGTAAAGCATCTGATCTGAAAAGTGGCAACAGCATTTGGGACCAATTACCCAGATTAAGAGGCAACAATGCTCTGTTTACACTTTGTAGCCAAGAGCTGTTTGGCTCTGGCCCACAAGCTGGAGATTGTAGCTTACAGAAGTTTCAGCCTATCGTTGACTTCTCTTTTGACCTGTGTGTCTGAGTATAGAGAAGAGCCAGCAGAAAAGCGGTGTTGTTGCTTCCCCTAAAACTTCGATGAATGGGGAACTGAATATTGTCTTCCAGGTCTGACATTTAACACATAGATCCCCTGCAATGGAATCATGGATTCTATCACTCAGGGAAGGGTCTAATTGGTTGCGTATGATGTGTCAGGATGTGGTTTTTCCGTTTGCCACTTCCCCAAAAGGACTTTTGCAAAAGAAGTTAGAAAATAAAGGCTCTTTGACATCTTTTGCTTAATTACCATAGCACTCCAATTTAACTCCATTTTCCAATATACTGTGGATTAATCAGTAACAAATGGTAGACAGCGAAGTTATGACCATGAGAGCTGCACTGCTGAAAATAGTTAGACATAGATCGTGGCAAAAATAGCCATCGTGGATGAAAAAGAGGCATCATTTGGCCAAAACTTGAAGGCTGATAGCGATTTGAATCATTTGGGCTTAGATTTAGGTTATTCCCTTTACCAAGAGGGACCGGCCCCACTTTGTGCAACCCTGATAATTCCAGAAGTTTTTTGAAAATATTCGTCTTTCTTTTAACATAATCCTGATGTTAAGGGCTTGACCTTGCCAGGGGGAAAGGAACCACAGAGGTCAAACAGCAAGAAGAAATGGGAGCCATCTATTCCTGGAGCCCAGGCCTGCCAAACGCAGAAGTGTGGTAAAGACAAGTCATTATTTTACTGATAGCCGTAAAGCATGTGTGTTCCGAGTTTTTTAATTTGACTACTCTAAATACCACATTTAGACCATCAATTTGGAAATATCCACAGGCAGGGACTGAGCTCTTCTTTTTAAAGTTCTACAGTTTGGCTAGTCATTTAGATGAAAACATGATGGGTGCTGTGATTGTGGAGTATTATGGAAATCTTGGGGTTGAAAGGCATTTTTTTACCCAGTAACCCATTGTTCATTTAGTGGAGGGCTGTCTTCTGAGGCAATTCCCATTTGATGCCATTCCAATGCCTTCCCATGTCAACACGTTTTTCTGGTAAAAACTGATCAAAAACCAACTTTATTTAATTTTGGATTTTTCTGACCCTGGTTCATCTCAATAATTCACCATTTTCTGCAGTGTCAGAGCTTCCTGACATTTACAATTAACTCACAAATTAACTTAGAAATGATAGTAAGCTCTCAGCTAAATGATATAGTGGCCACTGGGGACCAGACCAATTTTCTAGAATAAGGTTAGGACTAAGTTGCTCCGTAACAGTGTGAAGGTTGGTTGTGTAGAAGTAGTTATTCAAGTGTGAGTAGGAATCTGGGTGTGAGAAGGGAGACATTATCTGCCTCTAATTCTGTTGGTTGCTCAGCCCTCTGATACTTCTTCACCTATAAAACAGGGATAACCAGTTTTAAAAATGTTTTGGAATTCAAGGCTTCATGATGGAATCAAGAAGTCATGGAATCTTGCCCTTGGAAGGAAACTTGGAGAACCTTGATCCAACTTCATATTGAACTCAGAATTCTAGAGATGGGCAGATAGGCAGACAGACACCAATCCAGCAATTTTGGGGAGTTGTAAATTCAAGGCGGGTAACACAAATGGGTGAAGGCTCCCAGTTTGGCCAGGGCCAAACACCTAGAGAGATGGGAGAGGCAGGGCTCATTCTCTCCAAGCCTGCCACTACAGCGAGTTTTGTTTTCAGAAAGTTTTATTCCTCTATGGGAGCAAAATCCATGTCTCTGGAGCATCTTTCCATTGGGTTAGATTCTTTCTTCAGAAGCAATACAACTGAACTTCATCCCTTTCCCGTAGGACAGGCTTGCAAATACTTGAATATAACTTTTGTTCTCCCCACCCCCTCAAGCTACCACTTTTGTTTTATTGGCTACATTCCCCGGATCCCCACAGGACATGGACTCAGAGGTTTTGTTTTTCTGAGTTGGCCGTGGTTGGCCTTGGTTTGCCAGTCTTTTAAGAAGTGTCCAGAAGCAAATAAAATACTCAGAATTTGAGTGGCCAGCAGGGACAGTGCTGTCCACCATGTCACGTGACTGCCTTTAAAAAGGCCCCTGAGTCAGGGAGGAGCCCCCAAACCGTGGAGTCAGATCTCTATCACCCAGTGCATGTACAGAGGATTTATTGCATTTAAGAATGTCTCATGTTTATCCCCATTAAATTGCATTTTGTTTTGGCTTTTTGGTAGCTTTTCAAGCCTGTCTCTCTTGTCTTTTGTTCCTTTATAAATTGACTAGCATGGCTTTTACAGTTTTGCCCAATGATTGATCTAAATATTGCAGAAGCAAGGGTTTCTGGGGTTTCTAGGGTCGTTGATGTCGCTAGTAATTATGTTGAAAATAGTTACAGGTTTATTTCATCCATTAGCTCATAAGCAGTGATGAATAGTAGGGTCTTGGGAACTAGATTGCCTGGGTTCAAGTCCTGGGTCTGCTCATATACCAGGTGTGTGGCATTGGGCATGTTGATTTCCCTGTGCCTCTATTTCCCCATCTGTAAAATGGGGATAATAACGTAACTATCACATATGATTGTTTTGATGATTAAATGAATTAATAGATGTAAAGCATTTAGACCAGAAACAGGCACATAACATGCACTATTTGTTATACAAAGGAAATAAATCAAGACAAGATCCCTAAGGACAGGAACAGTATCTCATTTATATTTGTATCTCCAGAGACTAGCATTGTACCTGGAATATATTTGGGACTGATATATTGAGTACTTGAACGAATGAGTTTCCATAATGTTCTAGACACTGAATGCAAGCAGATAATATGATCAACGCTATGGTTTCTAATGCTAACAGATTTTCAATATTATTGTAAAAAAGGACTTGGTGGAAGGAAGATGTGTATGTTCAACCTCAGACCATTGTCATGGTGGTTATTTTGTTGCTAATTTTTCTGTGAATGATCATCAGTGTCACCAGTGTCTTTATTGATTCTAATCTATAATGCCTCCTCCTAGCGCTGAAGACCAGACCAGAAAGATCACACACACAACTCAGAAAAAGAGAAAGGATTCTGCTTCGTTTGCTTGCACCAATCTGAGAGGGGACACTGTCTATTTTTAGCATGAAAAGGAACTTAAAGAACGCTAGTGGTCCTTTGTCAGATCTTCATGTTTTTTAAATGTTTGTAGATTCCCCGGCCATTGGCAGACTCATTCAAAAAAGACATGCTAAAAAAAATTAAATGTTTTAAATGTCATCTATGGCATGGAAGTTTCTGCATCTCCCTACCTTTCCATTAACACGAAAAAGGAAGTGCTGACATCAGGGTGGGTCTTGATTTAAGTGCATAGCAACATAACGCTCCCCTTGGTTCAGCTTCACTATGTGAAAATCGAGTTCTCATCAGGTTGAAAATTTAAATCTTTCAGACATATCTTTTACATGTAATTCCCTTTGAACTTCCGTCCATGCTATTTAAACACGTTCAGTATTTTCCTCCTTCTATATTAATATAGTAGAGCTCAAAGAATAAAATTCACCAGTGCTTTCTTCTTTGTGTGTTTTCAGTAGGTACCCCTGAAGCAATCACCTACTGGGAGATGTGGGAGGAGCCACTCTGCGGGAGAAGGGGCCACTGGTAATATGATACATGGCTGTTGTGTGTGTAAAGTGCTAATACTTTTGACAGCAACCGTCCTAAAGGGGTGTAGCAAGTCATTTGAAATTTGTACACAGACTGCCCTATCCATTACACATCGCCCATGTCATACCCATAATCTCCCAAGGCAGATATGCTATTACACTCCGCGGGCCAAGGTCTGCCTGTGCTTATATACACACAACTCCCACTGACTCGGTGCCACCGAGGCACTTCAATGGGAGTTGTCGGCAGCATAAATTTAGCCCAGTACAGTCACAACCGCAGCAGGCGCAGCTAAACAGAGAGACCTGGCTGTGTGTTAAAAAGGCTGAGGAAGAACAAAAAAGCTGCCAGTTTTCATAAGAAATCTTATCCCCAGAGCATTAAGAACTGTAGGCTGACACTCGCCACACCATCCTCGTCCCACAACCTGCTGCTCCCAGGCTGGGACCTGGAAGCAGCTGAAACAGAGTGAGCATGAAAAGAAAATGGTCTGCTACAGGGCATAAAACCGTGCTTTGCTTGCAACCTTATTATGTGAGGGAAAAATTCCCCATAGGTGATCCTCAGAACATTTATTTATCAAAATTTAAATGGAACCGATGACCCTCTTTAAATATAGAAAATTTAAAATACATAAAACAAGGGTACAAAGATGTCCAGTTTTTGAAACTCACTGGTCTGTCCATTTTGAGTCATGTATTATCGTGGGTGTCATAACATATAACATCTATGTTGTCAGGCTAACACGGTAATTTCTGTATTAGACCTTTCATAATGTTTTCCAGCGTGTTATCTAACAAGATTCATTGAAGGCCTTTCTTGGCCTTTCAGACATCCTGAAATCATACCTTATAGGTGATCAGGTGTCATTGACCTCAAGCTTTGGCTGCAGTAAACTCCAGAATTTAATCCTCAGTCCTCAGAGGCACGCCCTCGCCATTGTCAACAGTGGAGTCTATTCAGCATCATGGAAAGTGCTGTCGTTTGGTGAGCAGCGCCTGGGTTCGAATCCCTGCCTTGTGCCACACTAATTGTGTGTCTTGGGCACGTTGCATAACATTTCTAAGGCCCAGTTTTCTTGTCTGTATCGTGAGATTCACAATATCTTCTTGTAGTGATAGTGTGAGGATGACATCAGAAAAGATGTGTGAAGCACTTAGCACAGTGTCAAAGCTCCGTGGAAGGAATGGATGCCAATCTCACACATATGGTGTATAGTAGGCACTCAATAAAAGCCTCCTTCCAGGGCTGGCCCAGTGGTGTAGTGGTTAAGTTTGTGTGCTCCACTTTGATGTCCCAGGGTTCGTGGGTTTGGATCCTGGGCACAGACCTACACACTGCTCATCAAGCCATGCTGTGGTGGTGTCCCACATACAAAATAGAGGAAGATTGGCCCAGATGTTAGCTCAGGGCCAATCTTCCCCATCAAAAGAAAAAGCTTCCTTCCCCTTCTTCTTGTTCCTCTTTTTTCGCCACCACAGCCTAATAAATTAATGCTCTTGCAAGCCTATGTATGATAATAAAAATACTGCCCTTGAAGAAAATAACGTAGTTAAATATTATCCCATGAATGACAAATGACCACATGTTTAACAGAACACATTTAAAGCTATACTCATCCTTTGATTGGTGTTATAGACCAGATAAGAATGATCAATTCAAAAGGAAAATGAGAAAATCAAGAGTAAGCAAGGAACCAAGTTAGAAATTTGGTCAAGTCTGATTAATGGCTACTTCCAATGGAGATTTTAGCTGAGTTTAGGATCCCTAACTGTTAATCTAAAGTGGTGAGGGGTGACCGTTCTAAGAAGTTGAAGCATAATTCATTCGAAGTTCACACAGATTTTCTTTCTTAGTTTGGGAAAGACCAGAACTTGATGCAATTCTGTTAATGCTACACAATTAGCATGTTTCATGATGATGAATTTAGATATGGAAAACTATCTTTCTCCTGAATAAATTTAGCTTCCTTGTCATTTCATCTTTTTTTTTTCATTTCTTCGTTTTGAAGATCCTAGTTTGGAGTAGAATTAATCATGTTAAAAAATTACATCAATCTCCAGGACCACTGAGTCATGTAATGGTTAAGTTTGGTGCACTCCATTTTGGCAGGCTGGGTTCATGGGTTGGGTTCCTAAGTGGAGACCTACACCACTTGTCAAGTCACGCTGTGGCATTGACCCATATACAAAAAAGAGGAAGATTGGCAAAGATGTTAACTCAGGGCCACTCTTTCTCAAGCGAAAAAAGAGGAAGATTGGCAACAGATGTCAGCTCAGGGCCGATCTTCCTCACCAAAAAAAAAAAAAACAAAAAAAAAAACCAGAAAGAAAGAAAGGAAGAAAAAGTTACATCACTCTGAAAGGCTTCCACTCATTCTAAAAAACGTGGTCTAGGTCATGTTTAAAAAATAATGCGGTTTTAAACAGGAGAAAAGTGCAATAGGTTAATTTTAAAAGTATGAATAATTCAACACAGAATCATACATTTCTTATTACATATTTTCCCATATAAAAGTGTTGCTTTATCGTTGTTAAGTAAATTCCCATTGGCACACGATAGGAGATGCAGTATTATTTTTATTAGAAGAAAGTAACAATTGAAGTTTAATAAATTTGGAAGGAGCACATGCAGATTTGTGTGTGCGCGCGTATGTATGTGTTTAGAAATTGACCTTTCTCAGTTCACAAAGTAATTTTCTCTGGTCTAAAGTTGCAGTTAGAAAATGTTGAAAGAGAAGGAAAATTGAATGGGATGTGTGCAAAGTTCAGAGGATTTGAAGAGCGTGTGTGTTAGGATTTGGTAGTGGTGATGACAATGCAGCCGCTTCTATTTGTGTAATAAAATCAGCAAAAATAAAACAAGACCTACTCTAAATTTTGGTAGTAAATCAAGCTTCAATATATGTATTCTAACGGAGTATAACATTGATATACGCACATCCGAATATACGTGATCAACTCTTGAAGTTCTTTTTGTCTTATTAAAGACAATAGAAAAATAGTACAATTCAAAGCTGCCTTTTGCCTTCCAAGCTCGCTTCCTTTTATGTAGGGCTGCTCATAGTGGACTCTCAAGTCTGGCTAATTCTGTGGGCAGCGAATCTTGTTTAACAGAAATTCTTCTTAGAAAAACAAGGTATGCTCCCTCCTCATCCACATTTTGCCTTCATTTTATTTATCCCTCCACCCACCCTCCAATGCCTGTCAGATCGCGGTATCACATCAGCCTGCATCGAATCGATTTAGGACACTCAGCATTTCCTCAAAAATTAAATTCCCCAGGAAAACTTAACAGGACCAACAAGAACATTAGAACGGCGTCATGGGAAACGTGCCAGAAGTTGAGCTAGGATGAAGGCAGAATCCTGTATATCAGGGAGAAGGGGAAAAGGGTCAGACAGAAAGAGAAGCGAAAGGAAAAGCAGGGCAGGAGGAGAGACACGACAGAGAGAAGGGACCGAAATTAGAACAAGAGGCGATGTTTATTAATAACCTTGCTGACCCACAGGCCCCTGACACAAAATACATTAAGTATTGTTGGGACACTCTGCTCTGTCACTCAAAGGAGGAGCAAATAAAATGGTGTTGGAAGCTGCAAACTTTCTGAGAACAGGTGAAAAAGAACAGAAAAAGCCAGAATAAGGTGAAGACAGAGACTCACAAGCTTGAGAAGCCCTGTAGCCTGGTCCCCTTTTATCTTCCTGTAGCACCCTCTCCAGGAAGTCTACCTAACGCTTCCTAAGTTCCAGAAAAACGAAGATTGAAAACACACACACACGATATTTTCCTTGGTTGCAAAAATAATACATGTTCATTGTAGAACATTTAGGAAATTGTGGAAAAGCATGAAGAAGTAAATAAAAATTGCCTCTAGTCCCACCACTTGAGTATAATCATCGTCAATACCTTGATATACATTTTCTAATCTTTTTCCTTTACTTTTGTGCATGCATATATTTGTATGTTTGAAAAGTGAGATGGAGGCCCTGCTGTAATCCACTATTTTGTAATCTGATTTTCCCATCTAAGTCGTAATAAATATCTGCTTATGTTGTTAAAATTATTGTAAACGGTGATTTTAAAAAAAGTATCTTATTGAGGTCATATTGGCTTATAACATTGTTTCAATTTCAGGTGTACATTGTTACGGATCAGTTTCTGTTTAGACTGCATCGTGTTCACCACCGATTGTCTAGTTTTGATCCATTACCGTACACATGTGCCCCTTTATCCCTTTTGCCCTTCCCCACCCCCTTCCTCTCTGGTAACCTCTAACCTGTTCTCCTTGTCCATCTGTGAAAGATGATTTTTATGTTGCATCATATTTATTTCTAGGAATCATAGCTCATTTGACCTCTAGTTAGATATTTATGTTATTTGTAAATTTTTGCCTTTATGAAATCTTTGTGTGCATCTCCATTTCCTCTGGAAATTACTATAAATGAAATTCCTGAGTCAAAGGCCTTTTTGGCTATGATTTGCAGAGTTGCCCTTCAAAGTGTTTATGCCAATTTATATTCCCACCTGTAGTGAATGAGAATGCAGAATTCACAAGCCATCATTAACTCTTCCCAACCTGAGATGAGAAACTTAGAATCCTATTATGATGTG